TGGCCTGTGCGGCGAGGGGTCCACCGTCTTCGTCACGCAGGGCGTGGCCACCGAGGAGAAGGAGGACGAGGCGCTGGGGTCGAGAGATGTGCTCCTCCCTCCCTCCCGTTGCACCTCCTCCTCCTCTTCCTCTTCCTCCTCCTGCTCCCCGTGTCCAGGCAGCGAGGTGCAGGGCGATTCGGTGCCAGACGGAATGACCTCCTCGATCGGCAACTCTTTTGTTGTGCGAGCCTCTCCATCTTTCTCCTCCCTCCTTGCTCATTTCTCCTCCCTCCTCATTCCTCCTCATTCCTCTTCCTCCCTCTCTGCTGCTGCTGCTGCTGCTGCTCCTCCTCCTCCTCCTCCTCCTCCTCCTCATCCTCCTCCTGGACAGCGAGATCGTGCCCAAGGGTTGGCGCAACATTCGCTTGCCCCAGCCAGCCACGGCAGGGACAGGCGACGACCTCTGAAGACAAGCCGGCCAGACGCTGCAACGGCGAGGAGGAGACGGAGGCATCGCGCAGCTGCTCCGCATCGACAGCCACCCAAGCGCGGAGGAGGAGGAGCAGAAAGGGGTTCCCGCGGCACACGCTGGGACGGCAGCCAGACGGTCGACACGCTGGCCGGCTCCCCGGGAGCGCTCAGGGGCTCCCCAGGTGCTCCCGGGGCTCCCCGGGAGCTCCCAAAGGGGCTCCCCATGGTTCCCTGGGGCTCCCCGGGAGCTCCCAGGGGCTCCCCTAGGCCCCCTGGGAGCTCCCGAGGGGCTCCCAGGGCTCCCCGGGAGCTCCCAAGGGGCTCCCCAGGTGCTCCCAGGGTTTGGAGCCAGTAGGCACGCCATCAGCGAGAAGCAGACGTGTTGTCACGAGTGTGTCTGGGCGACGGCGATCCTTGCGGACGGGGGGGATGATCACAACCAGCACGCAGGATGCCAGCGACCGTCGCCCGGCTGACGATAGAGAGTTGGGGACCAGCCGACTACAGCGACAGAAGGAGAGGCGCGCCCATAGGACCTCGTTGAACGACTCGCGCCAAGCGCGGTCGCCCCCTCCTCTTGCCTCTTTCTCTTTCTTATGGATCCGCCTCTTCGGAGGCAGGCCTCTCTGTTCCTCTCTCCCTCCTCCTCCTCCTCCTCCTCCTCCTCCTCCTCCTCCTCCTCCTCCTCCTCCTCCTGCTCCTCCCCCTCCTGCTCCTCCCCCTCCTTCCCACTAGTCGTCTCCTCCTCCTCCTCCTCCTCCTCCTCCTCCTCCTCCTCCTCCTCCTCCCTCCTCCTTCTCCTCCTCCTGCTCCTCCTCCTCCTCCTCCTCCTCCTCCTCCTCCTCCTCCTCCTGCTCCTCCTTTTCATGAGCCACGTGCGCTCCTCCTCCTCCTTTCTTGAGCCACGTGCGCTCCTCCTCCTCCTCCTCCTACTTTCTTGAGCCACGTGCGCTCCTCCTCCTCCTCCTCCTCCTCCTCCAGTTTCTCCCGTCCTTGGGGGGGGGAGGGCGGGCGGGATAGGAAAGGGCGGGGGAGGAATTGAAGGGGAGAGCTGCGAGGGGCCGGGGAGGGGGAGGAGGCGCGGGGACGTGGCGGTACGGGGAGAAATGGGCGGAAGGATGGGGGGGTAAAGGGGTAGGCGCTGGCGGTCTGCGCGTCTCCCCCCTTTCGATGAGCCTGCCGGGGGGTTGGAGCGGGCAAGCCTTCATGTATTTGAGCCGCGGAGGTGCGGGTCGCCAAGCGCCTGAAGGGCGGCGAGCTGCGGCGGGTGTGGGGCAACACGCTGTACATGCTGGAGGCTTAGCTGCCCCGATGCGCCCGTTTTGTAACGCACGTACCGCGTTCAAAACGTCCAGTTGCGTGTTGGCTCCACGCGTTGGCACACGTTTTGGCGCACTTGCCGCGCCAGGCCTGCGCTTTCAATCTGCGTGGTGAGCTCCCTTCCCTGAGATCCGACGTTGCAAACAAATGCGACTTAGCAAAAAACACGCCTGGATCCCCAGACCACATCTTTCTGCGACATTTTCCGAGCCCGATCGATCTGTGAGGGACCCAGGGCCAGCAATCGAGCGAAAATACCAGCTGTGAAAAAGTTGCGACGCCAGGATCCCACGCTGCGGGTTCCGTGTTGCGTATCGGGGCGGCTGAGGCCAGAGGATTGCGGGTGCCCCCCGAACAACATTCCCCTCATGTTCACCAACTTCAAGAACAAGGCCGAGGGCAGGGGGCGCATTCGCGAGCCCCTGGACACGGGCTACCAACAAGGGAAGGGGTATCCCGCCCTCGCCCCTCCTCCAGCTCTCTCTCGGGTGTTGCTAGAAGTGCCCCTGGCCCAAGGTGCCCCCCATTACTTCCAAGGAGGCCCCCACGGCCTCCAGAGCACCCCTCAAGAGGCCCAGGAGGCTCCAGGAGCTTCAAAATGGAGCTGGGGGCACCTTGGGACAGGGGCACCATTAGCAACCCCCGACTCTCCCGTCTCCACCCCTATACACTCCCCCCTGCCCCCTCGAGTTTGTTTTCGCTTCCTCTGGCGCATAACGATCGTTACCTGCCCCCCCGGGTAGCGGTAACGATCGAACGTGGGGGAGGGGCCTGGAGCCCCCCCTTACATGCTGGTGCTCACGCACATGTTGTGGCGATCGCGGCGCACCTCTGCCCCGACGTGCCCCACCCCGCCCGAGCGCTACAATTACTTGCCCACCTTCCCACCCAGGTAACGTCCGTCACCGGAAAGAATCAAACAAACAGATTCTGGCCCACCCTCCTCCTCCTCCTCCTCCTTCTCCTCTTCCTCCTCCTCCTTCTCCTCCTCCTCCTCCTCCTCCTCCCTCCTCCTCCTCCCTCCTTCTCCTCCTCCCTCCTCCTCCTCCTCCTCCTCCTCATCCTCATCCTCCTCCTCCTTCCCCCGCCTCCTCCTCCTCCTCCTCCTTCTCCTCCTCCTCCCCACTCCCTGTTGACGCGGGGGTGAGACGGGGTCGACCTTATTGCTTCCCCATCAAGGATCCGCCCGCGCGGCTGCCGCCGCTGCCGCAGCCCAGCGCGCCAGAGCCGAAACAGGAACTCGACGCGGCTCTGAAGTTTATGCCGACCCTGGAGCAAATGGGCTACGCTGCCGACCAGGCTGAAGAGGCGAAGAAGGATATTTAGATAGTAAATCACGGAAGCTTCCGCTCGTCTTGGATTGAATGCTTACCGGCGAGTAGCGCCCAGTAGCACTCCATGGAGCCAAATAGCGCCCAGTAGCGCTAAATAGCGCCTAATATCGCCCAAGAGCGCCCCACAGCGCTTTGCGCGGGATTGGGCGCGCCACGTGGGGCGCCATGGGGACGACCCAAAAGCTTCCGTGAGTTGCTGCCTGAGGACGACCCGCGCGGCGTCATGGTCTTCGAGGGCGGGGAGGACGCGGCCATGCGGCGCCTGAAGGATTGGATGTGGGACAGCGACCGCCTCAGGGAGTATTTCGAGATCCGCAACGGCATGCTCGGCGAGGGCTACTCCTCCAAGTTTAGTCCGTGGCTTGCGTTGGGCTGCATTTCACCCCGGCGCATCTGGAAGGAAGCACAGCGTTACGAGAAGGAGCGCACAAAGAACAAATCCACATACTGGCTTGTTTTCGAGTTGACTTGGCGTGACTTCTACGTCTACATGACCGAAAGCTATGGCGCGAAGATCTTCGTGCCAGGGGGTATCACGGGCGACAAGACTCCGTGGCATGGCAGCCGTGCGGATTTGGAAAAGTGGAAGGACGGCCGCACCGGAGACCCGCTTGTGGATGCCAACATGCGAGAGCTGAAGGCCACGGGTTTCATGAGCAACCGCGGCCGCCAGAACGTTGCCAGCTACCTCATCTTCGACCTCGGGGTGGACTGGAGGTACGGGGCGGCCCACTTCGAGGAGCTCCTCCTGGACCACGACCCCTGCTCGAACTGGGGAAACTGGGTGGCCGCGGCTGGCCTCACCGGCCAGCGCGTGAACAAGTTCAACACGAGGACGTCGGCTACGCGCAAGAGCTCTCGCCGGAGTGACCTCTAGCGCGGGCCCTACAGTCAACCCGCACAGTAAGGATGGGCAACCTCCCCCAGGGTACCCTCGCATCCTTGCCTCCTCTGTCCACCCCTGGCCACTCTCGTCGGCCGCGCCCCGCTCGAGAAGCTTCGACATGGGCGTCCAGGGCAATCGCATCCTCATCGCGCATCCTTATGATACGGGCCGACTGTAGAGACGAGGGGCGCGCGCCGCCGAGGGGCACATCCGCCTGCTGGCTCGAGGGGGAGGGGGGAGGACAGGGGGAAGGAGGGGGGGGGGGGGGGGGAGAGGGAGGAGGAGGAGGAGGAGGAGGAGGAGGAGGAGGAGGAGGAGGAGGACGTGGAGGAGCTCTCGCCGGAGGGACCTCTCCGTGCGGGCCCGAAGGAGTCCCCCCCCGCATTGACTGGCGCGCTTTTGGACTTGGCTGCCCCGCGGCCCCCGAGAGCCGCGCCTCAAGGGGATCACTCCTGCCTGGGGTGAAGTCGGGCATGCCCCTCTACAGGATACGTATATATATTCATATATATATATATATATATAGTTTTTTCTTGTGATGTGTTGACTATGTTTTGAGTTTGTTCTGACAGTGTTTCTCATGTTTCCGTCCCAAGTCAAGTCCGCCTGTAGGAGGACATGCTCGACCTAAGCCTAGGGTCACTCCTAATGTACGTGCAGCCGAGGAAACAGCTCAGCGACTACGACCCGAAGCGCGAGTACGTGAACCACTGGCTGAAGGGCGACGGCGGGAAGGTGACCCACTACACGTGAGAGTGACCTTTCGCCGGAGTGACCTTTGGTGCGGGCCCACTGGGGTCCCCCACTAGCTCTGCCCTGCGCCCGAATCCCTCTCAGCTCATCTTGCCGAAGAGCTCTACGAGGTGTTTCTTTCCCTTTCCCTTCCTTCTTTCGTTTCCCTTCGCTTGCCCCTTCTCTTCCTCCCTCCCCGCCCTGGGTCCTGATCCCGGGGCCGCTCACCCCAGGCCTCCCTCCCGGGGCACCGCCGAGCGCGATGCGGTAGTAGCGTCATGCGCGCCCGTGCTTGGTCCCCCCGCGGCCCCCACAAAAAGCCGCGCACCAAAGGCCATTCTCACCCAGGGTCACTCTTGCGTGCAGCCGAGGTGACGCTCACGCCCGCGGCCGGTCAGGGCGGCGGTCACGAGGGCAAGGGCAGCGCCAGGGGCCAGCCCGGCGGGGGCAAGGGCAGCAAGAGCAAGGGCAAGGGCGCGAAGGGGGACGACAGCGCCATCAAGAAGCAGCGGCGCTGGGGGAGGGACCAGTGGAGCGAGTCGCTGCAGGGCGCTTGAGCAAGTCGCACGAGTGGCACGGTCGGCTCCTGAGGTATATCTCTGAGAGCCTGTCCGAGCGCCGTCGCACGCCATCCCCGACAAAGACAGACTGTCTGGGGTTTGGCTTGCCTCCCCCCTCCCCCCAGAGAGCCTTCGCTCACGTTCGCACTCCCTGACCGAGGAACTCGGCTTGTGTATAATGTGGGGGCTCAAGGTCATGAGTGTAATGTGAGGTCGGCTATTTTTGTTTGAGACTTTCCGTGTCGTGATTTTCCTTTTCGTCCGAAGCTATTTTCGCTCAGTCTGGCAGCATTCGTACAATTTTCGGATTTGCATTTTGCCTTGTCCATTCATGTCCAAGCGCCTTTGAGGTACTGGCGATCTGTTTGTCACTCAGATGGTTCGCTGTGGCCGTGTTGCTGCGAACGTCCGCGCTGCACTTGTTCGCCTTTGGGGTAGTCTACCTAGGTACTGCCGTGATTGTACAGCGGTCGGCAGGTCAGGTAAAATACGGCCTGCTCGTTCTGATCACTCTACGCCCCACTTGATTCCCCGTCATGTGTTTCTGCTCCCCGTGCCCCCTTTGCTCTCATTACTCTTTCGCTTCCGCCAGCCCTTCCTCCTGCTCCTGGTTTTGCCAATCGTTCATGCTGATTTTCTCTCACTCGTCCGCTCCGCCTGCGGATTCTCTCTCCGCTCTTTCTGGCTCTGCGAGGTGCGCTTGCCGCCCGCGAGCGCAGCGAGAAGGGTGGCAATTGAAGTGCACGTGAGACTTCCTACATCATGTGCTGCCATGGCAGAGCACAACGAGGAAGAATTCGCCGCGACTCGAGAGGCGCGAGGCCGAAAGCGAATGCGAGGCGGATTCCATGTGCTTGTCGCAGAGTGGAAACGGAGCTGTGCGACGCCACACCGCTCCTGCGCAAAATTAGTGACACAAAGCAGGTCGAAGGGAGAGTAATATTTTTTATTGTGGGGGGAGTTTCATACGAGAGTCTGATGCTTCGTTTTCGGGGCATACAATGGTGACCCATGCCAAGAAACACCCTGCTCGCGTCCAGGGTGCCCTGAGTTTCTTGGGTTTAAACTGTTTTGCTATGGAAAGCGTGGGACCAAAATTCAGTGGACGTCCTGGGGTCTCAGGGTTGGGTTTCTTGTGGAAGGTTTCTTTTGGTCTGGTTTGGCTTGGTTTGGCCAGGTTTGGCAGGACGCCCCGCCTGAGACATTCTCATCAATTGTTTGGTTTGGACTTTAGTTTGGCTTGGTTTTCTCCTGAGACGTCCTGGCAATTTGCCCAGCTTGACTTGGTTTGGGCACGGTTTCGTTTGAGACGTTTTCGCGATTTCCCTGGTTTGGCCTGGTGTGGTCGCGTTTTCGCCTGACACGTCCTAGCGATTTCAGTAGTTTTACTCGGTCTGGGCGCAGTTTCGCCTGGCACGTACAAGCGTGTTCCTTGGTTTTGCTCGGTCTGGGCGCGGTTTCGCGTGACACGTCCTTGCGATTTGCCTGGTTTGGGCGTGGTTTCGCTGGAGACGTCCTTGCGATCTGCCTAGAGTGCGCTTCGTGGCGTCAGCCAGGCGGTGCAAACCCACATCGCCGGCACCGTCTGGCCCTCGATAGCATATGACCAGCTGCAAGCCAGCGCTGGCCCGTGGACGGGCGTTAGGAGAACACTAACCCGAGCTTGTGGGGCGGGTGGACATAAGCTCTCCTGTCGTAGACCGCTGCACGGAAATTCGAGGGTCACCGGACAGGGGAGGCAACATATACGGCAGGTCTGTGTCGTGTCGACCCCGGCGTTGATTCCCGACACTACGGTGACCGTTCAACCTTGAACGATCGGCCGTTTCCAAAACGTCTGGTCGTTCAACATCGACCGATTCTGGGTCGCCGCGGCGAGCGTTCAATGTTGAACGCCGGCGGCGGGGTCGCCGCCCGTCGACACGACACGAACCTACCGTGCACATGCGTCATGCGCGTCGGGCCGTTTTGGCGGCACTTTGGCGCACCCCCTGCGCGCGTGCTCCGCCGCCGAGTGCCAGAAGCCTCACTTCTCTCGCATTCTGCTCCGGAGCCGAGACCGAGACCGGCCTGCGTCGCATGGCCCGCAAGAGAGTAGAGGGATCATGTGCCCCAGTGCCCGCGTGGCTTGTTGCGTCCGCGCTTGGCTCATACGCGCACGCACACACACACACAAACACATATAGATGTATGTGTATAGACGTACTCATTGAATTGTTTACGTATGCGGGTGTGTATATATATATATATATGTATGTATGTATGCATGCATGGATGCATGCATTTGTATTTATGGATGGTTGGATGGATGAATGGATGGATGGATGGATATATGTACATGTATGTATATACATGTGCACACATATATATTAATATATATATATATATATATATATATATATATATATTCCTAGCCAGGTACCCCAGAAAAAGCCCCCCCAGAAAAAGCCCCCCCCCCCCAAACAAATTTGACCCCCACAGGGCCTCTCGGGAGCACCCCACGAAAGCCCGAAGACGGCCCCAGACCGCTCCAGGCGCTCCGGCCCGCCCCCGAAACGATTCCAAACAGCTAAAAGAAGCCGTCATACCCCCAAAGATCGCTCCAAAACCTCCCACGAGGCCTCCAAGAGCACTCTCACGGGGCAACGATAGGGGGAGGATCGGCATAGGGGAGGATGCATCGACACCGAATCGCCCATTGATCGCCGACAGCGGCCTGATAGCCCTAACCTGCACAGGAAGGTGCGGATTCGCTATCGGGGGCCCATCGCCGATCCATCGGCGATGTATCGCCGATTCCAGGCTGATGCATCCCCACCTATGCCAGTCCCCCCCCTATCGTTGCCCCTCACACGAGGCCCCAGAAGGCTCTCACGAGGCCCCGAAGAGGTCCCAAGAGTATCCCCAGAGGCCCCCAGGAAGCCCAAAGAGTGTTTCCAAGAGCCCCACCAGATCCCGCAGACAGCCCGCAGCAGTTCGAAAACGGGTCGCGAGCCCGATCATGACCCCAAGACAGCCCAAAAGAGCCAACACGCGCCCCAACACGGACTCAAGCCATTATGCGACTGCACCACCTCCCACAGAGGCTCTCAGAAGGCCCCGGGAGGCTCCAATACGGTCCCCGTGACGTTCACACTCCTACACGAGGCCACAAGCTTCCCAGGGGCGGCCCCGCGCGTGCGAATTAGAAATGCTGTTCACCAGTTACCAGAGATCTCAGCACGCCCTTGGACCGTTTGGCCGGCGAATCGTCCACATCCTGGGTTTTCCTTATGCCGAAGCTCTTCTATCGTTCCAGAGTGACTCCCCGCGCGTGCAGGCGCGTGCACGTGAATGTATATGTGTATACCTACACGCGAATGTGCACGCGTAGACATTTACAAGTAGGCGTGGTGCACGTATGTGCGCGCCCATAATTCGGCGTTCGTATGTGTGTATATATACACATACACACATATATACATACACACATACATACATACTTATTTTTGCAAGCCGGGGGGGGACCCCCCCCACCCCCCCCACCGCCCAAAACCGAATCCCGAGGATCCGTGGTTTCCGGGACCCCTGGACATCCTTGCCGAAGGTCCCCCGGCTCATCCGAGACCTCCCAGGACGCTCAGCCGCGTCTTGCCAGCAGACCCCAAGCGATCAGAGCGGTGATGAGAGAGGCCGAAAAGAGACCCAGGACAGCACAGGAGCGCTCCAAGAAGGACCCAGAGTCCAGGGGCTTCCAAGACGGCCCAGGAGGCCCTCAACCAGATTTCCAGAATGCAGAAATCGCTACATTCCCGTAGGGAAACGTGCAATTTCAGCATATTCATTGTTCGGGTCTTCGCAGCGTCCACAACAGCCAGGAAGGCTTACAATATCGCCTCAAGACGACCCAAAAAAGCCCCCAAGAGAGTTTCTAGACGGCCTGGATGGCCCAAAGACTGCCCGAGGAAGCTTCGAATGAGCCAAAAAGAGGCCAACATGCCCCCAGAAGGCGCCCAAGAGAACCCCAAGAAGGCACGGGAGGCCCCCCCAAAAGGCCATGGGAGGCCACCAGGAGGGCCTACGCACCCCTAGACTGCGGAAGGAAGCCCCAAAGGAGCCAAAAAGAAGCCCAAGAGGCCGTCAGAAGGCGCCCAAGAGAAGCCAAAGAATGCACAGGGGGCCCCCAGAAAGGCCATGGGAGGCCACCAGGAGGGCCTATGTAGCCCCCGTAATGTTCCTAGAGGACCCAAGCTCCCTAATACGGCCCAAGATGGCCCCATGACGGCTCAACAGGGGCCCAAGCCGGCCCGTATGGGCTCCAACAAGACCCACACGGCGTTTTCCGTAAAACTGTCCCGAATCCCGGGCTCGTAACCACATTTCCCGAAAATTTGTTGCGAACCCGGGATCCGGTCCATTCCTTACGAATTACTCACGTTCGCGTGCCCTGTTGCGACCCGCTGCAACATGACATCTTCGGCTTGGTATTGCTTTGTCCTTTGCAACATTGCTTGACATTGCGTCGGTTTGCTTGGCATTCCCTCCCCCTGCTCCCCTGAGTCCTCCTCCTCCTCCTCCTCCTCCTCCTCCTCGTCATCATCATCATCATCATCATCATCATCATCATCATCATCATCATCATCATCATCATCATCATCATCATCATCATCATCATCATCATCCCCCTCCTCATCTTTCTGCCGCTCCACCACTTGTCCTCCCCCACATCCGCTTCCTTCCTCGCTCCCCCCCTCCTATCCTTCGCCCTCCACCCAGCGCCTTTCGGGGGTCCCTGGAGGTCCTAAAAGGGTCAGGGACCGCCCGAACTTTCGAAGACTTCTGCAAACCACCGCAGGGAAGGGGTCACATTTCCACGACCACTAGGGATGGCGCGAACGACCAACATATGCAAAGCCTCAAGGACCAAAGTGCATGGCGCGAAGCGCCAATGCTGTCTTGTCGATGTATATACACAAGTAGTTGCATGTTCATCAACATACATACCCACACGTATACATACATACATACATACCTACATACATACATACCTGCATACATGCATGCATGCATGCATGCATACATACATACATACATCATTTGCATTTGCAGTTACACATACAGTTACATGTACACATACAACATCATATGAATTTGCATCTACGTACACATGCACATACACACACATCCACATGCACATACACATACACATGCACATACATACATGCATACATACATACATACATACATACGCATACCTTTCACGCACGCGCGCGCGCACACCTGCGCGCATCAAAGACCGAGGTGAACGCCGCCTGCGGCCGAAACTCAAAGGACCAAGGTGCATGGCGCGCAGCGCCACTGCAGTCGTGTATATGAATGTATGTATTTGTATACAGATGTCCTTGCCCTAAAAGAGTGCTTGCACTAAGGGATTCGCACTTGCCTTCTGAGGAACCAGGCCCGCTTGCCGCTCGGGCGGCCCCCTGTAAGGCCCGTCTGCCGCCCTTGGCGGCCCAGGTCTCCCGCCCGTCGCAGCCGCCCCGTTGGACGCCCCCCCGTTGCATTGCAGCCGCATTGCACTGCTTTGCTCTGCATGGGCTCGCATCATACAATCGCAAGGCTCTGTGCTGCTTTGCGTTGCTCTGCGTTGCGTCGCATCTCAACTCCTTGCCGTGCATTCCTTTTTGCACCGCCCCTTGCGTCGTTCTGCATGCCTTGTCCTTGCCTTGCAGTGTCTTGCATTGCTTTGCATTGACTTGCAGTGCGTTGCTCTGTTTTGATGTGCAGTGCTTCTCATTGCTTTACCTCGGTTTGCATTTCTTGTCGCTGCTTTGCATTTCGTTGCATTGTTTTGCATCCTGTTGCGTTACTTTGCATTTCTTTCCACCACACTGGCAGCACCACCTAGATTGTACCACCTGGATTGCACCACATGGATTGCACCACCTAAAATGCGCCGCGTATGCTGCAAGAACTCACTGTTCGATTTCCACGCTGGCTAACACATAGATGCACATAGATATATAGATATTCATATGTATATACACATCGTCCAATAGATGCGTCTGTACATCTGTAGCCACGCATAATTTGCAAGCGTGCAGCGACCAACCATCATTGGAAATGTCTTCACCAGAACATGTCTGCTAAGTGGTGCTTGTTAAGTCGGAAATGTAATCGCACGCCTCCTGGCAATCCCTGGCGTTGGCTTCGGGTTTCCAGAAGGTGGCAAGATTTTCATACGCGCACTCAATGCAATGTAGTCGGATTGTTCCAGAAGGTTGTCCCGCCTCTGGCTTGGCCGTGGTAGCTCCCACATGCACGATAACTTGTATTGGCAGCGTGCAGCTCATGATAACACGTCAGATGCCACAGAAAAGCCTGCAGCTCATGGTGCGTCGTTGAGCGGAAGTGGGGTCCTTCAACAGACACGTGTTCTAGCAAAGCGAGACGCCGACACGCGAACGTGTGTAAAGCAAGCGAGCAAACACTCGGGCAGGCAAGCAGGCACGTGCTTAGGCAAGCAGGCACGCACGCAGGCAGGCTGGGAAGCAGCCAGATGGGCACGTAGCACAGCAAAAACACATGAAACAATGGCGGCAGAGAGACCGGCTTGTCTGCATCCATCGTTACGTCGTGCAAGTGTCGTGACGTTGCCTGGGGCCCAGGCTTGAATGTACGCTAGCGTTCTTCGACTGCTACACCTCGCATGCCAGAGCCGCCGCCAGGCTGCGGGAGTGCTCCGTAAAGCGATTGCGAGGATGTGGGGGATACGGGGTTCAAGGTTGACGTGGTGATGGTGCAAATGATTGCTGATGGTGATGCGGACGATGATGCGGACGATGACACAGACGTTGCCGATTGCAGCAGGGAGCGGAAACTAGGAGCAGGAGATGGAGGAGGAAGCCCGATTGAGTAGGAGGGGGCTCTCGGCCCCGAACGCTCGTCGCGGGCGATGTTTCTTGATCATCTCTCAGACTTTTCTACTGGTCTGTTCAATTACTTCCCTCCTCCATATGAAGAAGCTTTGCATCTCGAGGAGAAGATGTGTGGAGGGAGGGTCCACTCGTCTGGCCAGCGCTTGCTTTGCCCAGTCCCCCATTCATCAGTTTCTACTCCTTGCCCGGGCGGGCATATCGGTGTGTTCTTCCGCCTAATCGCGCTGGGGTGCAAGCCACTTTGGCAGTTGGGTGCCGTTGACCGCAGTATAGCACCGAGTGGAGGCGACACGCGGCTGAGGACCATCTTGCGGTGTGCCTTTGGTAGCGTTTTTCGCAGCCTTCGGTGTCGGTCGTCTCGCGGGGCAACATCACCCGTTGCCGAAGCTACAGGAGGCAGCACGCAGCGCTCAAAAAACCACCACGAGCCGTGAGGGCCGGCTTGATTCCTTAGCCGCGCAGCAGGAGCACAGGCACAGGCACTTGCAGAAAAACGTCTTGGACAGGCGAGTCGCACAGCTGGAAGATGTCGCGTAGCCCATGTATGATCATCGCACAGAGCTCCAGCCTCACACTTGCGAGATCTCGAAAGTTCCGGAGTTCTGCAGGATCAGCCCTAGCAGGAGTTCAAGTTTCGCGTGGTGGTTGTCGAAGGTGGCGGAAGCGGCGTTGCCGCTCTCTGGGCGCGGCGAAGTTGTTGGGACAGGTCAGCGAAATCAGACTCAGACTTATTCGTGCTCGGCGCCTTGGATCTCATAATTAATGCCACAGCATGCGCTCGCGACATTCGTCGATTGGTTCGCTGCTGTTGGGATGGCTGTGGCTTGATGTACTTGCGTTGCGATGTAGCGCGAAGCAGCAGCTCCTCGTCAGCCCCAACCGAGCGCCCAAGACGGCCAGGTGCGAGTTCCGAACGAAGCGCGTGCTCCGCCTCATGCGAGACGTCCCTTCCAGCACCGTGCGGGCGCGTGGCCAACGCGGCGGCGTGCGCGTGGGCCGCACCCCGCTGGTCCTGAGAACGGCCGGCGGGGGAGGAGGAGCTGGGACAGGGGCCTCCTCCTCCTCCTCCTCCTCCTCCTCCTCCTCCTTCTCCTCCTCTTCCTCCTCCCCCCTCCTCCTCCTCCTCCTCCTCCTCCTCCTCCTCCTCCTCCTCCTCCTCCTCCTCCCTCCTCCTCCTCCTCCTCCTCCCCTCCTCCTCCTCCTCCTCCCCCTCCTCCTCCTCCTCCTCCTCCTCCTCCTCCTCCTCCTCCTCCCTCCTCCTCCTCCTCCTCCTCCCTCCTCCTCCTCCTCCTCCTCCTCCTCCTCCTCCTCCCTCCTCCTCCTCTCCCCCTCCCCCTCCCCTTCCTCTTCCCCCTCCTCCTCCTCCCCCTCCTCCTCCTCCTCCTCCTCCTCCTCCTCCTCCTCCGGACACGGCGGAGCCCTGCGAGGATCTCGGGGCCAGCTCTGCGATGGAGATCCAGGTCCCGAATTGCAGGCGGACGTCGCTAAGCAACTCGGGACCTGGCGCCATCTGAGGCGTTCCGAAAAAGGGCCCTGCTTTCGGGGGTCGAAGGAGTTGCCATCTCTCCCTCGGCGGAGGGCGGCGGAAGGTCGGCGGAAGTAGAACGAGGCCGTTTCCGTTGGCGGAAGCTGGCGGAAGGCTGGCGGAAGGCGGCGGAAGTAAAAGGTGCGCCCCCAAGAGATGAACACGTTTTTGGATTCAGGGTTTCCGAAATCCGCCATCTGATCATGTCTTGCGCGCTGCGAGGTTCATTGCGCAGAGCCTGCTCTGCTCGACGCCCTCGAGGCGGAGATGCCGCCCGCAGGAGCTCGACGGTCGTGCTGGTGCGGTGCGATGGCGGCTTGGGGGTGCCCTCGGTGATTTTGACGGGCCTTGATGTGACTGCCGCGAGCATGCGCCGTCCGCATCGCGGTATTGATTCGGCGTTGCGAGGAGTTCGTCCACCTCGCCTTTCTTACCACCCTCCTCCTGCTCCCGCCCCCTTCTCCTGTCGGGCCGGACGGATGGCAGGACTCGGCTCGCAAGATAGTTTTGCGGCGCGGCTTGAGAACGACGGTTTGATTCTCGGTGACGTGGTTTGCCTCGCGGCCTTGAAGCTGCGGCTGGCAGTCTTGGGTGCTCAACGATTGCGCTATTTACCCTCGCCGTGTATGCCCAGGGCCGTCCAAGAACGACTCAGGATGAAGAACCGGTCTGGGGGAAGGGGCCCAGACCTCTGGGGGTCGGCGTTGTGAAAACATCACGAAGTCGGGGGTCTGCATGGGGAGCGTGACCGGGAGGTGGCGGTGTCCCTTTCGAAGACTGAAAGAAGCCCTACGGGACAGCACTTGGTATCCTCCCGCGCCTCAGCGTGCCAGAGGGCACGGTCTATGATGTTTGTTTGGCAGGTCGTGACGTGCCGCGTTCCTTGGCGCGTTGAGCCGCTCTCATGCGTTGGCAAGCGATCCAGCTTTCAGTAACTGGCTGAATCTTAGCCATGGTGTTTCTCAATCGCGTTCGCGGAAGTGCCCATCTTGCAGCACAGAGGCTCAGCCACTACGGCGGGAGACGTTGCTTCTGCCCCGTCCCATTCCTCCTGCTCCTCGTCGCTGTCACCATGTCCCTGCCCGTCACTCCCCGCTTCCCCTCCGTTTTTAGTTGTCCTCTTTGGGCGACCCCTTACCTAGCTACTCTGTGGGTTGTTTCATTTGAGGGCGTGGAATCCGCTCCCGTCGGTATTCCATCTCAGCCGTGCGGAGTCCCAGGCTTGCTTGCGTTGCAATATGGGCGGGAGCGTTCGGTACGCGGAGGATGATAATGAGCGGGTTGATCCTTTTTTGCTCTACATTCTAAGTGGTGTTCTTGTTTTCGCTGGACACCCCGCGCACGAGCATCCATCCACATGCACATCATCATCATCAGCAGCATCAGCATCAGCATCAGCATCAGCATCAGCATCAGCATCAGCATCAGCATCAGCATCAGCATCAGCATCGTCGTCGTCATCGTCATCATCATCAGCATCACCATCGCCACCATCATCATCATCATCATCATCATCATCATCATCATCATCATCATCATTCCCATCATCATCATCATCATCATCATCATCATCATCATCATCATCATCATCATCATCATCATCATCATCAGCATCATCATCATCATCATCATCATCATCATCGTCATCGTCATCGTCATCGTCATCGTCATCATCATCAGCAGCGTCATCAGCAGCGCCATCATCATCAGCATCATCAGCATCATCATCATCATCAGCATCATCATCATTCCCATCATCATCAGCAGTAGCAGCATCATCAGCATCATCCTGGTCGTCGTCGTCCTCCTCCTCCTCGTCACCACCATCATCTTGATAAACACGATCACCGTCACCGTCACCATCACCATCTTCCTCAGCGTCGTCATCGCCATAATAATTTTAATAATCAGCATCATCATTATCATCATCATCATCATCATCATCATTATCATCATCAGCATCATCATCATCATCATCATCATCATCATTACCACCATCGTCATCATCATCATCATAATCGTCATCGTCATCATCATCAGCAGCAGCTTCATCATCATCATCATCATCATCATCATCATCATCACAACCAACATCGCGCACGCTCACATACTCACTCACACATTCATCTTGAGGAAGTCTCGAGCGGGAGCCTCGTTTGTGAGTGAGTCGCGAGGAAGTCTCGAGCGGGAGCCCCTCCGCAGGTGGTCGAAGGGGTCGCCGGGCTTTTTGTAGCTGTCCTTCATTTTCAGGCTCATCGGGGCTGTATCTGGAAGAAGTCTCGACCGGGAACCCCCCTCCTCGTGGGGTCCCCACCTCGTGCCGGCAATCCGAGCGGGTCACCGGAATACATGTAGCCGTCTTCACTGTCAGGTTCTTGACGCCTGGGTCAGGAGGAAGTCTCGAGAGCGGGAGCCTCATCTGTGTGTTAATCGCGAGGAGGTCTCGAGCGGGAGCCCCCCTTCCCATGGGGCCCCCCGCTTCATGTTGGTGATCCGAGCGGGTCATCGAAATAGTCGCAACCGTCGTCGTTTTGGGGCTCCTGAGGCCTGAGCCTTGAGGAAGTCTCGAGCGGGAGCCTCGTCTGAGAGTGAACCGCGAGGAAGTCTTGAGGGGGCGTCCCCCTCCCTATGTACCCCACCTCTTGTTGGTAATCCGAGCGGTCATCGGAATACTTGTAACGTCGTCGCTGTTGGGCTCCTGAGGCCTGAACCTTGACGAAGTCTCGAGCGGGAGCCTCGTCTGTGAGTGAATCGCGAGGACGTCTTGAGCGTGAGCCCCCTCCCTTTAGGGCTTTCATTTCATGCAATTCATCCGAAGTGGTCGTTCTCAAACCTGTAACTGTCGTCACGTTTTGGCCCCTGATTCCTGGCTGCTGAGAAAGTCTCGAGCGGGCGCCCTGCCTGTGAGTGAATCGCAAGGAAGTCTCGAGCGGGAGCCCCCTTCCTTCCTATTGCGCCTTCACTTCATGGTAGTAATCCGAGGCGGCCATCGGAAATCCTGAGGCTTGAATCTTGAGGAAGTCTCGAGCGGAAGCCTCGTTCGTGAGGGAACCGTAAGGACACCTCGAGCGGGAGCCCCTTCCTTCTGGGGCACACATTTCATGGTAGCAATCCGAGGCGACCATCGGAAAACCCATGCCTGTCGTCAGTTTTGGGCTCCTGCTGCCTGAGTGTTGAGAACTTCTCGAGCGGGAGCCTCGTTTGTGAGTGAACCGCGAGGATGTCTCGAGCGGGGGCCCCTGTCGATATGGCCCGCGGGGTTGTCCTACCGGCTTCGCGACCTGCTGGCCATCGGGCAACGCGCCATTGCCGGCCAAGGCGGCGATGGCGCCAAGGAAAATCGACTTGCTCGCCTTTGTATGAGGGGCGGGGGAGGAGGTGGATGGGGGAGAAGAGGCAAGGAGGACAAGGAGGAGGCAGAGCAAGGGGCGGGAGGAGGGCTTACACCAGGGCGAAAAGGAGAAGGGCGAAGATGAGACACGAAGAGATCTTCCGCAGTCACAAAGACGATGATAAGGATCATTTCCAACTAGGTGCGGAAGATCCTCATGTGGGGTTCCTACAGTCGGAGTGATTCAGCAGGGAACGAAACTTTACGCGTGATTGTACGGAATAGCTTTAAGATGCTCGAGCCGTATCCTTCGAGCTCGTAGCAATAAGGGCACGTGCGCCGACGGGTCGATGAGAGCTGCCAGCGCGGGCTTGCCCGCACGTGCCTCGAGCAAAGAGATGCAAAGCGTCGAAGTCACGTCGCATGTCGCACTGCTTGCCTG